ATCCATCTGATTCATCAAGAGTCACTCTCATCTCCTCAGTCCAAAAAACCTTTTAAAAATCTGTCTTGAGATGTTTCTTGGCCCAGTCTTGACGTGTCAACTTATGTGTCTTGTTCAGTGGTGGTTGGGTTTCAGCCTACCTTATCTTGGTCATGTCTCTGAGCACTGAACACCTTGTACTTCAGGGCACTCCAGGTAGGTTGAAGTTCTGGAATATGACAGCACTGGAGGATAATGGGTTTGATTCTTCTCAAATCTTTGGCAGTTAATTAAAATCTTTTTTCCAAACACGTTTCTCGAAATCCTGTTGACTATTTGCAACAAAATGTTTGATGGTTCTGTGATCACGCCCCAATATCTTAGCAATTTCAAGAGTGCTGCATCCCTTTGAAAGACTTTTTACAATTTTGACTTTTCAGAGTCTGTTAAATCTCTTTTTTGGCCTATTCTGCCTGAGGAAAAGACGTTACCTAATAATTATGCACACCTTGAGGTATTGATCTCTTTAGGCCCCAACCGCCCTCATTATAAAAATACATATCCCCTGATATGCTTAAATCCAATAAGCATTCAAGTTTATACAACTTGGAGTTGGACAATATGCATAAAAATTATGCATTCGTGAAAACACTCAATTATTATTATTATTATTATAAAGGATTTATATAGCACCAACAGTTTGCTCAGCGCTTTACAATATACAGGGAGACAATACAGCAACAATACAGTTCAATACAAGAGGGCTAGGAGGGCCCTGCTCCTCGGAGCTTACAATCTAAGAGATAATTGTACACACATTGTATGTGTGCAGAGGTTTCTTGAACTTTAACTAAAACCTCAATAAAGAGTATTAACCGCTTCCCGACTGCCCTATAGAAGATATACTGCTACAGGGCGGCACAGGTGTGTAAAATCACGTATATATACGTGATTTTGCATTTCCTGGTAGGGAGCACAGGTGAGGCATGTGCGTGCCCTACCCGTGCTGCCAATCATGACCGTGGCTGTCAATCACCGGGGTACGGCCGCTGATTACTCGCTGGTGGCCAGTGATTGCCAAGAATTTCCGATGGGGAGGAGAACTGTTTATAAAACAAAACAGTTCTCCTCCCTGTCAGCTCATGCACATTGCTTTGGATGGCTGTGCACAGCACAGCCATCCAAAGCAGTGTGCTTACAGTGAAGCACATGGACACAGCACACAGTAAAACTGCACACAGTTAACACTTTGATCGCCGCTCATGGTAACCCCTTCCTGCCCAGTGTTATTAGTACAGTGTCAGTGTTTTTTTTAGCACTGATCACTGTATTGGTATCACTGGGGATGTCAGTGACACCAAGTCAGTTCCCACCCAGTATCAGAATGTACACCGCAGTCCCGCTATAAGTCACTGATCACTGCCATTACCAGTACATATACCGCCATTTGTAAACTCTATAACTATCACGTAAACCAATTCATTTACATGTATTGGGATTTTTTTTTAGCAAAGACATGTAGCAGAATACATTTTGGCCTAAATTTATGACAAAATAAAATTTTGTTAAATTTTTTACTGGACATGTTTAATAGCAAAAAGTCAAAAATATAGTTTTTTTTCTCAAAATTGTCAGTCCTTTTTTTTTTTAATGGCAAAAAAAAATAAAAATGCACAGGTGATCAAATAACACAAAAAGAAAGCTCTATTCGTGGGTCAGTTAAAATAACTCAGCACTGTAATGAAAAAATGGCTTGGTCAGGAAGGGGGGTAAATCCTGAGGAGGGCAAGTGGTTAAAAAAAAGGTTTCTTGAACTGGTTTTTGCACAGTGCAGGGGCACAATTTTATGAAATTTGAGATCATCAGGTTTTGTTGAAGGCTGTGTGAGTGATTTCACTAAGACTTAGACAAAACAACTGGAAACTGGAGTTTTTACTTTTATAACTGCCTTTTTTTTTAGCTAGTGATTTTATATTGGTGGGTGTTGGTTAGGTGTATTTCAATACAAGGTCTGCTTTTATTATTATTATTATTATTATTATACAGGATTTATATAGCGCCAACAGTTTGCTCAGCACTTTACAATATAAAGGGAGACAATACAGCAACAATACAGTTCAATACAAGAGGGTTAGGAGGGCCCTGCCCCTTGGAGCTTACAATCTAGGAGGTAGGGGCTAGTGGTACAAAAGGTAGTAACTGTGGGGGATGGACTGGTAGGAGGAATAGACGATTCCATTATTAGCTGAGGGCAGGGTAGGCTTCCCTGAAGAGATAGGTTTTCAGAGATCGTCTAAAAGTGAGCAGAGTAGACGATAGTCAGATAGATTGGGGTAGAGAGTTCCAGAGGATGGGGGGAGACTCCGGAGAAGTCCTGGGATGAGCATAGGAGGAGACAAGGGAGCTAGAGAGCAGGAGGTCATGCGAGGAGCAAAGAGGACGGTTTGGTGATATTTGGAGACAAGATTGGTGATATAATTGGGGGCAGAGTTATAAATGGTTTTCTATGTTAATGTTAATGTTTTGAATTTTATTCATTGGGCAATGGGAAACCAGTGGAGGGATTGGCTTTAATAAAGAATAACATTGTACCTATTAGAACAATATAGACCTGCATTGCGTAAATGTTTTTTGTGTTTTTTTCTGGATCATCTAAAAGTTTTGGGCGCTGGAGATAAAGTTTTTTTTTCTTTTGGTAAATTGGATGGCCATTTGTCTTTTCAAATAAGAATAGCTGTTATCTAGAGACGCCTGATACCTTTTTTCTGTTGCAAAAATGACAGGCGACATTGCTCCAGAGTCATAAGTAAGGTCTCTTGTATTCTATACATGATCTAAGTAGAGTGATCGTTATACTTCTGACATGCACTTCTTTACCTCTTCTAACCCACAATAACATTTTCCAGTGCATGCTCCCAATACTTTATGTTACATGAAAGAAATATGCTGAAGGGTTAGCACTCCAGCAAGATAAGCCGTCTGTCACTGAGGAGCATTGGCAGCATTACATTTTATCTTCAGCTCTGGCTGTGAAAGAATAATGCCTTAGTTTACAGGTTTCCTAAAGCAAAGAACGTTTTGTAACACTGAATGTGAAACAGTAAGAAATTGGACTACATAGACAGATAAGTGACACTAAGTGCATTCAAGGTAAAAAGCTTATACAAAGAGAGATGTAAGCTCTTAAATGGTCTGTCGCAGTGGCGGACTGACCATTTGGAAACTCGGGCAGTGCCCGAGGGCCCGGGGTCAGTAGGGGGCCCATGAGATGCCCCTGGTACATTTTTCCTAGGCTTTTTTGAGTTTGGGCAAGGACACAGGGGCCCCATGATCCCCTATGAGTTGTCAGTCCGCCCCTGATCTGTAGGTCTACAGAGTGGCTTTCCTGCTATCATCCCTTCATGTATTTAAAACAACGTGTGTCTGTTGGACTTTCTTTGGTAAAAAGAGCAGCTTGTTTTCTTTCCATATTTTACCTGTCTGCATTTAGGCATTGCAATGCCATTATTTTCACCCCTCAGAGAACATTATTTTGTATCTGGATTGATAAGGGTCAAACGTGAACATAACTGTTGCATGACCAGACATCATTGATGTATAGATGTTCAGGACAAATTTTGCAACGTCGGAATGGTTAACATGGCAATGACCCTATGATGCATTTGCATACCTAAATTATTTTTATATGTTTAAAGGAGAAGTACAGCCAAACCTCATTTGACTGTTTTCCTGTAGATCACAGGAGTGCAGTTTGTTCTGCACACCTGTGACCTGTTTTTAGCCAACAGCGAGCTAAAGTCACCTGTCAGCTGATGTCACTGTCCAGGCTGGGCAAAGATATCGACCGTATGGTCATGATCCACCCAGGAGCCTCTCCACGATCTGCAGAGAGCTTGAGCCAGCCACTCCTGCCCCCTCCACAGTCCAGCGATCCAGTGAGCACTGGGGGGGGGCAGAGCAGAGAGTGGTGACTGACAGTCACCACCCTCTGCTCAGAGCAGCAGGGAGAACTGGATCGCTCAGCTGTGGAGTGTCTTATCACTCAGTTCTCACCCTTAGGGCTGGTGGGGACAGATGCAGCATCAGATCAATGCTGCATCTGCCTAGTTAAGTATGAGTGAAAAAAAATACTTTGTAAACCATATTCAGGCTGACAAATACACATTTTTCAAATAATGAGTTAAATTTTTTTATGCTATAATTGTATCTGACTATTGCAGTATTTAACAGATGACATTGCAGCCTAAAGATGGCAGTGTTCATTTGCAGACCTAATGCTTTTATTTATTTATGTATTTATTTTTTTATTTATTTATTTTTGGTGAACCTGCATGTTTTCTCTATGTCATAGCTAACTTAGTGATCGCATGTTTGGGAACCACTCCTATTAGTTCTGTAATTGTGGGAACAGAGCTGTCAAAGACAGCCAGGATTGAGAGATACAAACACGTAAACCTACCTGGCAGTGTGTGATGAGCCTTTTTATGACTTCCTGTCAATAAACGATTTTATACTATTTGAAAAATAATGGTATTTCTGCATGTTGAGTCCTGTGATAGGAGGTAAGGATCAGGAGTCCTGCAGTGCAACATCCTTTAACATAGGTCTATTTGGCAATGGTGATTGATGGCAGATTTAGACATTTGTTTAACGCAATGATTGACATGACTATATTCAAGAGGAGGCATGTCAGTGACCAGCAGAGAGTGAAAGGTTTTCAAGTTCACTTTCTAGCTGTTTAGGGCAACTGACCTGTTTCCTGTATGGAGGTGATGATAGTAATGGTACTGTATAAGTGCAAAACTGTTTTTGGGTGATTTATTTTAAATTAAATACCATATCCAGGACACTAGTCTTTAGGTTTAGTTTATGTGCTCGAATAAATTGCAACAAGTAACAATAAAAAAATGTGGCGGCACAGTTCTGATTTACCCATGATAGCTTTAGTTGCTTTGCTGGAGCATGTATAGCACTTCTAGGTGGAACTGGATGACTTGGCGCCAGGACTGGACTGACAACTCATGGGGCCCCCTGGCAATAGGGGATCATGAGGCCCCTGTGTCCTTGCCCACACTCAAAGCACACCCAAAAAAGCCTATGAAAGGTACCAGGGGCATTTCATGGGGCCCCCTACTGACCCCGGGCCCTCGGGCAGTGCCCTAGTGCTGAAATGGTCAGTCCACCCCTGCTTGGTGCATAGTATCACTGAAACACTGTAGGTTGACTGCTCAACATTTGGCTACACTGCAGATCATGGCAATTCGTTCACCAGAATAGCCTTCATGTTATACCTACAATTCTGAGTAGCCTAACCATAAGCTAGGGCTTTGTTCAGGGCTACATCTAAACTATATGTAAGGATCAACCTAATATACATTAATTAGTCTTTGCTTGTCACATCCAGGTGTTAAGAGCTACTGATCAAGGGACCAATAATTCAGAAACATCAAAAAAGCACTAAGAACACATTCTTTTGGAGTTATTCAATAAAGCAATTAATAGAGTAATGATGGTATGCAACATTCATAGCAATCGGATTTACTTCATAAAAGGAGAGGAGTCAATTAGGAGACGATTTATTATTGGTTGTGTCATCAATTCTCTCTACAGCTACTGAAAAAGTCAGGTTAAGACTTACTGCAATTCTGTAGTTTCACAAAGCTTTAAAACCAGTATATACAATTGATAGCAGGCATCTCCTTGTACCTGAAAGTAGTATCAGTGTCCTTTGAGTGGGCCATAGCAGTCTCTAATATGTAAACATTTCATCTTGGAAGTCAGTGTTCCAGGTGGAGAAGGGGGCACGTGCCAACTTCCCATTCCATAATAAATCCCTTCTGGTTTACGGAATCTTGGTTATTCCAAAGGGATGCTGACTCTATGTTTAGTGTTTTACAGAGGGACTAACTTTAAAAAAAAATGAAAATGTTAGAAAATTTATTGAAAAAGAATATTAGAGCTCTCTGTAATCCTGCAGACACCTAAAAGCAAAATGTCAATATGATAAGGAAAGCGTACAATTTATAAGTGACCATTTACATTCCATTTGCCTTCGTGCTTCAATTAGAATTGTTCCGCTCCAGTTACAGGTCATTACCGATGTAACAGAATCTGAGAAATGAGCTCCAGGTCAAGGAAAAAGAAATTTCGAAAATACTCAACCATCCCACAGTCTTAGCAAATTAATTGCCTCTGGCTTGCTTGGAAGATAAACATAATAATCCAGGCTGATAGAAAGTCAGACAATAATTGCAAGCCTCACAAGCTAGTTTTGGGCAATTTTAAAATATATTTAGTATGTGGTAGAAGAACAGAAAATAACTTTAACATGTCTCCCTTTATTTTAATCACACCGAGCCCAGCACAGCAGAAACTTAAATATCATTAAATTTGTTCTTTTGAGTACTACTCATCTGCACTTATGATGTCTTATGTTACTAGCACAAGCACTTGAAAGAAGTTCACGCTTTTGAATTCACTCATCATATCAATTCGCAAACCCAAAAATCTCTATATATCTATTTGTTTTCTTTCTTTTTGGAATGCACTGTATAGTGATTTTATACATTATGTCTTTTATTAAGGACATATAAAATAAAAGCAAAATTAATAATTTTATTATTATTATCTTGTCTTCTACTTTTGTGCTGCTAGGTAGAGTGTTGGGTTCCTTTTTACATATTCAGATTTTCAACATTTGCTCTTGAAACCTGTTGTTTATAGACCTCAATAGCTCAAGTTAAAAATTACCGAAAGAAGCAGATGACCCATCCCAGTGAGTCATCCGTGACTTATCAGCTTTATCAGTTTTGTTCATACAAACTAAAGCCTCAAATCATATAGCATTCACTGTAGAGGCTCCTGTGGTAAACCATAATGCTCTGGGCATCATTCGCTGTGTACAAAAATCTTCATTTGTAAAAAAAAACTATTCCATATAGACAGTAAATAAAACAAGATCATATAATGCACTGCTCAAAAAAAATTAAAGGAACACTTTGAAAACACATCAGATCTCATTTGGGAAAAATATCATGCTGGATATCTATACTGATATAGACTGGGTAATGTGTTAAGAACATAAGAATGCCCCCCATTGTTTGACGGAAATGAAAATTATCAACCTACAGAGGACTGAATTCAAAGAAACCCCGAAAATCAAAGTGAAAACATGATGCAGCAGACTAGACCATTTTGCTGAAATTTCATTGCAGTAACTCAGAATGGTACTCAGTAGTTTGTATGGCCCCCACGTGCTTGTATGCATGCCTGACAACGTTGGGGCATGCTCCTAATGAGATGACGGATGGTGTCTTGGGGTATTTCCTCCCAGATCTGGACCAGGGCATCGCTGAGCTCCTGGACAGTCTGAGGTGCAACCTGGCAGCGTTGGATGGACCAAAACATGATATCCCAGAGGTGTTCTATTGGATTTAGGTCAGGCAAGCGGCAGGGCTGTCATGCACCAGGAGGATCCCAGGACCCACTGTGCCAATGTAGGGTCTGACAATGGGTTCAAGGATTTCATCCTGATACCTAATGGCAGTAAAGGTGTCTTTGTCTAGCCTGAGGTCTGTGCGTCCCTCCTTGGATATGCCTTCCCACACCATCAGTGACCTACCACCAAAACGGTCATGCTGAACGATGTTATAGACAGCATAACGTTCTCTACGGCTTCTCCAGACCCTTTCATGTCTGCCACGTGCTCAGGGTGAACTTCCTCTCATCTGTGAAAAGCACAGGGTGCCAGTGGTGGACCTGCTAATTCTGGTTTTCAATAGCAAATGCCAATCGAACTCTATGGTGCCGGGCAGTAAGCACAGTGCTCACTAGAGGACGTCGGGCCCTCAGGCCACCCTCATAAAGTCTGTTTCTGATTGTTTGGTCAGAGACATTTACACCAGTGGCCTGCTGGAGGTCATTTTGTAGGGCTCTGGTAGTGCTCATCCTGTTCCTACTTGCACAAAGGAGCAAGATACCAGTCCTACTGATGGGTTAAGGACCTTCTACGGCCCTGTCTAGCTCTCCTAGAGTAACTGCCTGCCTCCTGGAATCTCCTCCATTCTCTTGAGACTGTGCTGGGAGACACAGCAAACCTTCTGGCAATGACACGTATTGATGTGCCATCTTGGAGGAGTTGGACTGTCTGCAACCTCTGTAGGGTCCAGGTATCGCCTCATGCTATCAGTAATGTCACTGACCCTAGCCAAATGAAAAAACTAGTGAAAAACATTCAGAAAAGATGGGTAGGGGAAAAAAATGTCGGTGGCCTCCACCTGTAAAAACCAGTTCTGCTTTGGGGATCGTCTCATTGTTGCCCATCTAGTGCACCTGTTGTTAATTCCATTAACACCAAAGCAGCTCAAACTGATAAACAAACCCCCTCTGCTAATTTACTGACCAGATCAATTTCCCAGGAGTTTAATTGACTTGATGCTTTACTCTGATTAAAAAGTGTTCCTTTAATTTTTGTGAGCAGTGTATATATTTTTATAAAACCTAGCATAAAATAAACCAAAAACATTATTGTTTTCCTTTAATAATAATATAAACAACACCCATGTGTGTGCAGGTACATCAGCAACTATAAATAAATAGTAAGTGCACATAACCAGATGCTATGCATCTATATGAAATCTCTGGATAATGGTAAATCCATTAAAAATCACTATGGACTGGTTAATTTGTCTGGAAAAAGGAAAACAATTCCCTTTAAATGATAAGTTCACCTTTTAATAATGAATAAGAAATTCAATTTTATTTACCAGATAAAAAAAAAAGTGCATTTATTATTTTTTGTTTCTTGATCCTCTAAAGCATTGCACCAGTGATCAGCAGATTGCAGGTACCATGCAGGTCTCCTGCAGACCTGTCAGAGAAGCGGGAGCTGGTCCATTCTTAACATGTTACGTTACACCCTAATATGTTATGAAGGGTGAACTTATTCTTTAAAAAGACTTGCAGTTCAAATGGTATAATGGTGAATTAGAGTAATGGCTCTTACTATAGCTGGTGTCACCCATGGGTAATGGTGACAATAAAAATAATGATGGGAATATGGTATAATAGAATGCTACATGGTGTCCCTTTACATAGCTTTACATATATTGGGGACTACAGCGCAATAACCAAAATCATCCCTAATTAAATCCCAGCCATGCCATGACAATCACAAAGCCAACTGATGATATGAAGCACTCCCAATGGGTCCCTAATAAATAACAAAAAAACGCCCTGTGAGGCGTGTCAAGGTGTTGTTGGGCATATTGTAACTGGGCTCTTTTGTTTCATTGGTGCAGTAAAGGTTTCTTTCTGGCACCTTAACCATGCAGCTAATTTTTGTTCAAGTATTGTTGTCTTTTGTTGTCAAGACTGATCCCCTTGACAACGTTCCTTTGGATGAAATGTACGTTAGGGTAGGAGGAGTCCATGCTGATATCACCATCACTGACTGGAGCCGGCACCAGCAGCATTCATTTACATGTGATTTGATTTTATGACTTTGTAAGTAGAATATTTGCAGTTTTTATTAATATGTTATTGACGATATCAAGCCATGGTGGATTTCTTTTATATGTGAGAGCTCTCGGTGGCAAGATATAAGGATAAACTATTGTAGCAATGGAACATTTCATCAACATCTAATTACACCTTCAGGATGTATGCAGAGTCATGCCAAAAAGACCTCCTATAAAGGGTCTAGGGATGCGGTTAGAGGCTGGTTATATTGGTGGTGGATGCACTTCTCACAATGAATTGATTATTGAAGTTGATGAACATTTCTTTCACGGGAGAACTTTTAATTTTTTTGGGACTTTTAATTTAATTATATGTCATGTTGGGATATAGTAGGTTCATTTGAGTATTTATTAGTTTATTAGAGTTACTCACTTATTTATTTACAGCTCAATTTGTTTGTAAGAGTATGACTTACACATATGGTGCATGTTTTTTGAGTGCAGATATAGGACTGATTATTTATTTTGATCATTAAGTGCTGTGAAAAAGGGGTTTTCTGCTTTCTCTACTGCAATTAAAGCTCCAGGCACCAGAAAGAAATACCCTCATAGTGGGGTCTCCCCACATTAAAAGGGTTATATGCTTGTTAAGTCTAAGAATAATCTGTAATACTTACCGTATTCATTGCTTTGATA